CAAAAGGACAAAAATGAGTGCTTCACAAATTTGCATATCATCCTTGCCAGGAACTTTACAAGTATTTGCTATATTTTTCCAATTTTAGTATACATGTGCTGCCACAGTAAGCACAATAAACGTGTGTTTGTGTGTGTGTGTGTGTTGCTAGGGATTGAACCCAGGGCCTCACACATGCTAGGTAAGTGCTCTATCACAGCTCCATTGGCAGCCCTAATAGCTTATAATACAGTGTGAAAGTGGTAGTCAGGCTTTGTTTTGTTTTGTTTAGTGTACTGCAGATGAACCCAAGGCCTTTGTACTGAGTTACATCCCCAACACCCCCATTTTTTTTAATGTTTTGGAATTTTGACATGGGACTGTAGTCACTAAATTGCCCAGAGTGAGCTTGAACTCATGATGCTTGTGTCTCAGCCTCTCAGAGTGCTGCCCAGGCTTTTTCATTTTTTAATGCTGCAGATTGAACCCAGGGCCTTTGAACTGAACTACATCCCTAGCACCCCCCTTGAAATCTTTTGCAAATGTTTTATTTAGTTTTGTTTATTTGTTTTGAGATGGCCTTGCTATGCAGTTCAGGCTCGCCATGAACTCCCAATGTAACCCAGGCTGGCCTCAAACTCAGGATGATCTTCCTGTCAGCCTCCTGAATGTTTGGATTACAAGTGTCTACCACCATGCATGGCCTCTTTTTTAAATTTTTACACAGGATCTTAGTCTCTAAATTACCGAGTTTGAACTCATAATCCTCATGCCTCAGCCTCTCATAGTGCTGGATTCAGGATTATAGGTTGTATGCTGCCATGCCCAGGCCTTCACAGACATTTTTATCTCCTCACTCTTAGAGTAAAGACAGACACATTTGTTACCACTTATATTATGTGCTTCAGTGATACGAGTTTAAATGAGTTTGAGGACTGCACTTAGTTCAGTGGAGAATGGTCCCCTGGGTGCTTGTTATCACTTCTAGTGCCTTGCACATGTTAGGCAAGCACTCTACTGTTGAGCTACACCCCCAGGCCAAAGAAGCCCTCTCCTTAGGCAGTGACATCAAGTGGAAATCTGAATGAAGAGGGAGCTAGAAAGATGAGCAGTTACTGAGATAAGAATTTTACAGACTGACAGTAAGCCCTGAGGTGGCAGTGCATTTGGCTCTTAAAGGAGTTGCAAGGAAGAGAGCTGGAAGTAGTCAGCAAATGGGGCAGGATAGGTTAGAAGACAAGGTCAAAAGCCAAATGTAGTGGTTGGTACAATTATCTGTGATCCCAAAGCTTTGGGAGGCTGAGGCAGGAGGATCACAAGTTTGAGCCTAGCCTCTGGGCAACGTATCTATTCAGCAAGACCCTGTGTCAAAAATAAAACACGAGCAAAAGAGGGACTGGGAATATAAAGATTTCTAAAGTGTAAACATTCTGGGATCAACACCTAATACTAGGCTTTTTAAAAAAGGCAAGTGGCTGGGGATTTAGCTCAGTGGTTCCGCCGCCTGCCTCACAAGCACAAGGACCCAAGTTCAATCCCCGATACTGCCCCCCTCCAAAAAAACAAGGCAAGGTTAGAGAGGAGGTAGTAACAGATGATAAAGGATGTTGGGGTCCATATTAGGATTTTATTCTAAGTGAGATGGAAAATTAATTATTGAAGATATTTGAGCTACTGGAACTTTTAGTTTAAAAGCTAAAATACCTCTTTCTTCTGTGTTGATTGAGTGATACTTAGAAGGCCATTGTAGTAATCTAGCTAAAGCTGATGAGATGCCAAATGAGGTTTATTACATACATCCATGTTGGAAGACCCAGTTAAGAATACATCACTAAGCCAGGCGTGGTGGCGCACGCCTGTAATCCCAGCACTCGGGAGGCTGAGGCAGGAGGATCCCTGTGAGTTGGAGACCAGCCTGGGCTACATAGTTCCAGGGCAGTCTCAGCTACATAGTGAGACCCTGTCTCAAAAAAAAAAAGAATACATCACTAAAGCCCATTTCACTTGAGGCTCAGATATCATTATATGTTGCTTAATTAGGAAGACACTTTGTGAGATGAGCTTTGTTGAGTGATTTCCTCATTGTAGAAACAATATAGTCTTCTAACCCAAACTGTAGTCCAGCTATTGCTCCTAGGCTATCACACAGCATTTTACTGTGCTGGATCCTGTAGGCATTTGTAACACAATGGCACTTGAGTATCTAAACATAGAAAGGGTACAGTGGAAAATAATTTCAGGTACAGGCAAAAGCAATTTTTCCACTGAGTGTAGGTGCACGAGCCTATAATCCCAGTACTTGGGAGGCTGAAGCAGTATGATTGCTGTGCGTTGAAGGCCAACTTGAACTATATAGCAAGACCCTGTCTCAAAAAAAAACAGTTTTTCAGTTCCATTATGATTTAATGGGGCCACTGTCATATGCGTATTGTCATGGACTACATATCCTTATGGGACTACTACCCCCACCCTGTACCGGAGATCAAACTCAGGGACCTTGCCCTTGCCAAGTAGGTGCAGTGCTACTGAGCTACATCTCCGGCCCCTGGACTTGTTGTCAACTTAACTTTCTTTTCTTTTTTTGGTACCTGGAGATCAAACTCTAGTCCTTGCGCTTGCAAGACAGGTGGTGGAACCACTGAGTTAAATCCCCTGCCCTAAACTTCTTAACTTTCCTTGGAGTTTGTCCATGTCTATGTTAGGACTGTAAGGGAGAAGTTACTAAATAGAGATCAACATTCACAAGGGAATGAATTACAAGCAACACCTAGGCATTCGTCCCCACCAGAAGTCTTTATTTCTTGAGGCATGGCAGTTGGCACACTGTTCATCCTTGTTGTCCCTCCCACCAGTGATCTAAAAAGACTGAGTATCTGTGCCAGAGCTTTTGGGCAGCTGTGTTCTCATTGAGGCATTCAATCCTTAATACTTTCTGCAACTGCTATCTTAAACGCGGTTTGAGCAGCCTCTTTTACAAAGTGTCTTTTCAGCTACCTGATCTTGCAAGCTGGAATTCTCTGATGCTAATCATGACAAGGTAGGCCGGGCATGGTGGTGCACACCTGTAATCCCAGCACTTGGGAGGCTGAGGCAGGAGGATCACTGTGAGTTCAAGACCAGCCTGGGCTACATAGTGAGTTCCAGGTCAGTCTCAACTACGTAGTGAGCCTGTTTAAAAAAACAAACAAACAATCATGACAAGCTAGTATCACGCACCTGAGAGAGCCCTCTAAAGGAAATAAGGAGGTTTTGTGGTCTTTGTTTAGTATTTGAGTTTTTCTCCCCACTCCTTTTTTGTTGTGATCAAAACAACCTTATTATACCACTCTGATATCTGAATTTCACAGTATTAGAGAGCGTGTTCATGTACTCTACTACATTTTACTTACAGTATTTAAAAAAAGCTTATTCCTGGTACACAAGGAGGTTTTGTTCTTTTGTTTTTTAAACAAGATCTCTGCAGGTTGCCTGGGCTAGGCTCAGAATTGTAATCCTCCTGCCTCAGCTTCCCAAAGTGCTAAGATTACAGAGCTGGGCATGGTGGCACATGCCTCTAATTCCAGCACTTAGAAGACTGAGGCAGGAGGATAGCTGTGAGTTCCAGCCTGGACTACATAGTGAGTTCAGAGCCAGCCTGAACTACGAAGGGAGAGACCCTGGGCCAGGGATTTAGTTCAGTGATGCTACCACCTGCCGCCTTGCAAGCACAAGATCCTGAGTTTGGTCCTTGGTACCAAAAAAAAAAAAAAAAAAAAAAAAAAAGAGCTAGGATTACAGCTGCGGACACCATACCTAGTTTGCAGAGCCTGTATTCCTGAAGAACTTCACTAGAGTAGGGTTTTATGTTTAAACTATATATGTCTTGTTGATAAACATCACTGATAAAACCCATGCCACCTTGAAATACTATTAGGAATAATGCTGGTCAGAGTGGGCTCTTAGTAGCTTACTGCCTTTTTGCTTCAGTCTGAGAGCAGTGCTTTAAAAAAAAAAATTTCAGCCAGGTATGGTAATACACACCTGTAATCTTAGCACTCAGGAGGCTGAGAAAGTAGATCATCTTGAATTAGAAGCCAGGCTGGGCTACATAGTTAAATCCTGTCTCAAAATGATGATGGGGAGGGGAGGAATAAAAGTGAGTTCAGATTACCAGGGCAGAAGTGAGATTTTGGGTGCCCTGGAAAGTCATATACTTTATGTTTGGAAATGCCTGACTGCCTGGTGGCCTGCAGCCAGCTCAGTAATTGGACTGAGCCAGGCCCAGCATTTTCAGGCATGCTCAAACTACAGATATGCCTGTACTTTCTAGTTATTTTATGGTTTTGTTTGTTTAGTTGGTTGGTTTTTTTCTGTTTTTCTTTTTTTTATTGTTGTTTTGTTTTTTTGAGATGGTCTCACTATGTAGTTGAGACTGACCTGGAACTCACTTTGTAGCCCAGGCTGGTCTTGAGCTCACAGCGATCCTCCTGTCTCAGCCTCCTGAGTGCTGGGATTACAGGCATGCATCACCACGCTTGGCTTCTCTTTTTCTTTTTTGGTACCAGGGATCAAACTTGGGACCTTGTGCTTGCGAGGCAGGCAGCGGAACCACTGAGCTAAATCCCTGGGCCTGTTGGTTGATCTTTTTGAGACGGGGTCTTGCTGTGCAGTTCAGGCTGGCCTTAAGCTCACTATGTGTAGTCCATGCTGGCATTGAATTCCTGGTATGTGCCACTATTCCTGGCTTTCATTTATTTTATGAATAGGTTTTGTTTTTTTGTTTTTTGTTTTTTGTTGTTTTTTTTTTAGTTTTTCTTTATTCCACCCACACATCTGTGCAGACTGAAATATCATTTTAACTATAGTAATGGTTGGGAGCAAATTCTTACTAGAGATGAAGGTGTAAATAGATTTTCAGTCAACATGCTGCTAATTAAATTGCTTACCTTTCTAAACTGGGGCCTGTGTACCTTCTAGCTGATATCCCTAGATGAAATTGGTTGTTTCCTGTGCCCCACAACCATGTGTCTTATTCTTTCCAGTGTGAGCCATTGTCCCATGGTGTGTTGATGCTGGTCTGCCATGCTTGCCTGTCTGCCAGGGCCAGGGGACCTGTCCTTTCAGCTTCTTTCTCACACGCAGATGAACACTGGACTTCAGAAATGTAAGTAATCTGGATCCCCCGGGGAAGGGTTGTGATCTTTTGTTTTGTCTGTATGTGTGAATTATCCCAGAGGTGCATCTGGGGTGCACTGATCTGGAATATAATACCTTTAAGGTATTTGTCAGCAGAGCAGCAGGAAAGCCACTGCGAAGGTCCTGTCAGCAGTGGGAGACACTTTTATTATCAGAGAAATCCTCTTAAATATTACAATTCCCCATTGTATATGATCTTAATTTTAATTATTGCTGATAGCTTTCTGTTGCACAACAGAGGTATAAGGAGCTTTATAAGAAACATACCACCTTTTAGAAAGGTGTTTCATCTTGGACCCAGTGAGCAATTTAATGAAAATTCAGTCCAGTTTACTTATTGTATCTCCAAAATAATTTCATTCACACCATTGTATGTTTTGAATCTTTGGACCTTCTGCCATGGAAACAGTTCCCTTTGGCTTTGCTGCCTGCCTTCTAAGCCAACATGACTTCAGTCTACAACAAGTAAAGGAGTTTTTATACTCAGAATGTTTGGGAACTAGCTTTCTCAGACTCTGGGCATTTGCACTCATAAAACAAGATTGAGCCTTTGAGAAATGTTAGATTCCTGTCTTAATTGGTTGAAATTAGAACATTATACTTCCTATTTTCCCGGATCCCTCCTACTATCCCTACACTACAAGATGTGCAAGGAAAATATTCTCTCTCTGGCTCATTAACAGCCCTGTATCTGGAGTAGACCTTTCAGAGAAAAAAAGGTGAAACCAGTGAGGCAACCAGGTCTCCCATTAATTGGATAAAATGCTTCAGCACCTTACCTGAGTCCTTTATGACAGATGTTAGCAAAATTTTTCTGTAAAGGACAGAGAGGAGATGTTTTAGCTTTGTGGCTACATATTCTCTGTTACACCCACTGAACTAAGGCAGCTGTAGATAACATATAAACAAATGAGTGCAGCTATGTGCTAATAGAACTTTGGGAGGGGGGCTGGGGATGTAGCTCAGTGGTGCCCATGCCTGCCTTGCAAGCACAAGGTCCTGAGTTCAATCCCCAGTACCCCTCAAAAAAACACTTTTTTTTTTTTCTTTTACAAAAACACAGCAGCTAGACTTAACATACTGGGAGTAGAGCCAACTCCTGCCCTTTGAGATCATCACAAGTTAAAAATGGTCTAGTCTCAGGCTGGGGGCATATGTCAGTGATAGAGCACTTGTCGTCTAGCATGTACAAGGCCCGAGATTCCATCCCTATTGCTGCAAAGAAACCCAAAAGGTCTAGACCAATGATGGCAAACCTTTTAGTTTTTGATGAAAACAGGGCTGGGGATTTACTCTCAGTGGTGCTGCTGCCTGCCTCATAAGCACAAGGTCCCGAGTTCCATCCCTGGTACCAAAAAAAAAAAAAAACCCCACTGCAGCACCTGTCCCATAGGTTCACTACCACTGGCTAGACTTTTGGCAAAGCATAAGACTCAGAACCTATCTAGTTCTTAATTTTTCCACTGCTTTGAACCTTATGAAAGGACAAAGGGAAAGGTGACAGTTTTCTCCCTCCCTTCTCTCCCCACAGCCCCTCTTTTTTTTTTTCTTTCTTCTTTCTCTGTGCCTGCCTGACTTCCTTCCTTCCTTCTTTCCTTCCTTCCTCTACTTATTTTTGCTGTACTAGGAATTGAACCTAGGACTTTCACACTCAACTACATTTCCAAGCTTTTTTTTTTTTTTTTAGATAGTGTCTTACTAAGTTTCTAAGTTGTTCAGGCTGGGCTCAGACTTGCGATCCTCTTGTCTTATCCTCCCACAGTGCTGGGATTATAGGTGTATGCCAGCATGCCTGGACTTTATTCTTATTTTTTCTGTGCTGGAGAGTGGAACCTAGGGCCTCATTCATGCTAGGTAATAATTCTACCATTGAACTACATACCAGCCCTAGCTTTTCTCTTACTGAATGGTGATTGGGTGATAAAACTATATGTTTCATGGCCGTACACATATTTATATTAATTGCCTTGTGCCCAGTTCTGAGCTTCTGTAGACACATTTGAAGACATATAATACAATGACAAAGAGAAGCTCAGTTTCCTTCTTTCAGATTCCTTAGCAGACACTGATAGCTTCACCCAGAGATGTGCTATCAAGGGAAGAGCAATAACTGGGCATGGTAGTATACATTGTAATCCCCCCTATCTGGGAGGTGAGAATCACATGTTTGAAGCCATCCTGGGCAATTTAGCAAGACCCATCTCAAAAAAAAAAAAGAAAAAGAAGGAAAGAAAGAGAATTGCCATTTGCTGTGTGAGGGGAAAGGCAAATTGGCAGCTTTATCATGGTGTTGCCTTTAAATCTCCACTACCTTCTCCACATATATCCTCTGCCAACCACCATCCCTAAATGTGGGCTCAAGAATAGAGAAGGTAGGGCTGGGGATTTAGCTCAGTGGTTCAGCCTCCTGCCTTGCAAGCACAAGGTCCTGAATTCGATCCCTGGTACCTTAAAAAAAAAAGAGAGAGAGAAGTTGGCTGGGAATGTAGCTTAGCAGCAGTATGCTTTCTTAGCATGCGCCAGCCTTTGGGTTCAGTGCACACATGCACTGGAGAGACCAGTCTCCCTGGTTCCAGTTTCTCGTGTCCATGTGGGGGACAGTGTATTTGATCCCTAACGACTTTCTTTTTGTCATACTTAAATATACCCCAGCCTTTCCAAAAGACAAAATTTAATGGTACTTTTCAGCTTTCCTATCTTCTGTCCAAAATTTGTAAAAAAAAAAAAAAATCCTGTTGTGTGATCTGTAGCTGCTAGCATTAACCATTTACAGTGAAGATAAGATGGAAAATAGCTGTCTCCTTTGAAGAACAGTAGACATGCAGCTGCTTAGGACCCTGGCCCATCATCTGTAGTGACCTTAAAAATAAAGTCGTTTTGGGTCAGGGATTTAGCTCAGTGGTTCTGCCACCTGCCTCTCGGGCGCAAGGTCACAAGTTCGATCCCTGGTACCAAAATTAATAACTAAGTAATAGTTTTGTTTTTTAAGCTTCTTCTTCTTCTTCTTCTTCTTTTCCAGTTGTTGTTTTGAGATAGGGTCTCACTGTGTAGTTCAAGCTGGTCTTGAACTTACCATGTAGGTTTGCCAGCCTCAAACTCACGGCAATCCTCCTGCTCCAGCGTTCCAAGTGCTGGGATTACAATGGACCTTGACTTACGAACTCAGTTCATTTGAAACTCAAGTTGATTGTAAGTCAAGACTTTTCCCATAAGAAATAATGGAAATACCTATAATGCATTCCGAGCCTCCGAAAGTACCTCTTACCTACCCTTTTCATAATAAAAAAATATATAATAAATACATATATAATAAAAATGTATAATGTGCATAATTTGTCAGAAACATCAATAATTTTCCTAGTGTATTCACCAAAAAGTTATGAAATGTGTCTAGTTTACCAGAAACAACAATTTCATACTGTACTAACCATTCAAAGGAGGATACAAGAAGAGAGGATGAAGTGGAAGATGATTATTGTTTGGAAAGAGAGTCCCCTTCCATACAGATATCAGGAATCTGGATCTCTGGTGTCTTTTCTGTCCCTGATAGAGTTGGTAGCCCACTAGGACCTGCTTCTGGCTCACTAGGTCTCAACCTTTTCAGAACTAAAAAGTGGTCTAAGGTTGTCTGTTTCTGTCTTTTCTTTAACACTTCTATTGTATGACATGACATTGTCATTAAGCAAGTGAATGCAACGATTGGCTTTTTGTCTGTCTGGGTAGCTCTTCTCTACAGATGTTTGTAGCTCTGTCCTTTTTTCAGGATTTGTTTCAGAAGAACTTTGTTGCACTGATGGTTGATACTCCCCTCCTTTTCAGAAAGCTCCTCAGCTGCCATTCTCTGTTGCTCAGGCAGAAGTTGCTGGAGTTCCTCTGTAGACAGCTCCTCTGAGTGTGCCTTCACCAGTTTCTCAATATCACCATGTCTACCTGTGAGCCTATGGACTCCGCTATAGTGACAGTGTCATCAACCACAGGGTCAAATGAAAGCACCAGCTATTCTACACAGCCTTCAAAGTCTTTCTCCTGTATAATTTTAGGCCACACTTTCTTCCAGACAGATTTTGATGTCCTTACACATTGGCCCAGGATTTCTCAACCCCACACAGGAAAGGATGTTGTAGTGTTCCTTCCACAACATTTTAAGTGTTAAGTCTGTATTGGAGACCATCTGGAAGCACTTCAGGAACAGTTGATATATATATATATATATACACACACACATACATACATACATACATACACATACACATACATACACATACACATACACACACACACACACACACACACACACACACACACACACTTACATCCATACATACCAGGAATCAAACTCAGGACCTTTGCTTGCTGGGCAGGTGCAGCACCGCTGAGCTAAATCCCCAGCCCATAAGTCTCTTAAAGTTAGCTGCAACCTTCTGGTCTGTAAGCTGCAGTAGTGGAGTTGTATTAGGTAGGAGGAACTTGACTGAGAGCCATGGAAGTTCTTCAGCCAATTTTTCTTCCAAATCATATGGATGAACAGGAGCATTGTCCATGATGAGAGCCTTAAGTGGTATACCTTTGTTCTCTAGATATTTCTTAACAGTTGGACAGAAAGCTTTCTTGGCCCACTCAAAAAAAAAAAGTACGTTCAGGCTGGGGATTTAGCTCAGTGGTTTCACTGCCTGCCTTGCAAGCACAAGGGTCCAAGTTCGATCCTGGGTACATAAGAAAAAAGAAAAAGTACTCTCATTATCCAGGCTTTTGCATTAGATGTCCACATGACCCCTACCCTCTTCTTTATGACTTTAGGTTTTCTGAACATTCTAGGGGTCCTCAGAGTGATAAACCAAGAGAGAATTTAAGGTCACCATTGCCATTGGCACATGGCAATAAGGTTAGCCTATCCTTCATAGGCTTGTGGCCTGACAGTTTCTTCTTCCTGAATAATGTATGTTCTTCTGGGCATTTACTTCCAGAAAA